TCATAGTGACTTGCTACTATATTTGTTGTGTACATAATAGCTGTTTAGTCTCTGCATAAACTGCTTTTCAAAGGATTATATTTTTTTGATGAAAATTTTAACAACAAACCCAACACAAACAATAAAAGCAGTAGAAATAGATTAAATGGATCAAGAAAGGTGATTGTATTTTTCTCATCAATGTTCTGTTGTCAGATTACAAAAACCATCGTAATGGTATCAAGAGGCCAAAGTCGCATCGATATCCATCATTAAAAGGGGTAAGTTTCAGTAATATTATAATGAAGTGTATGCATCTACTGCCCTCTAGTGGGCATTTTATAATCACAATTGTTCTTTACCAACCAATCGTGTCTATTGGTAAGTGGCTTCTGGTTGACTTGACTTTGACAGACCTGAATCAAACTTCTAGTGTTGCGTAGAAATTATTTGATGCAGGACTGTGTTTCAAAGCCTTGTAATAGTAATGTTGCCCTCGTTTTTCTCGTCGAACTTAGTTTTCTTGCAATGGTCATGTGATTAGCCGCCTACTGTTCTATCTTTACTTCAGTGAGTTGCCTTTTCTGGCAGAGTAGCACGCCCCAAATGGTCACAGAAATGCTGAACTTATAGTCGTCGTCATAAATAGTCAAATCTCAATTATCCCAACTCTGAGGGGCTGAAGCTCGGTTCGTTTGAATGATTAACAGTTCTGTAATTGATCGCATAATGTATTTAATATTACTAATAGAAATTCATGTAATTAATGTATATCCTTGGTATGAACTAGATTAAGTACATCTTCTCTCTTGTGCAATTCTAGAATTTTAATTTCAGCGGGTATAGTCTCTTATTGCCGGTTCCGGTGACATTTCCTTTACATCTCTAACATTTTCTCAGAAAGAGCACATAGAATTGCAACAAAGTTTTTTTCAAGTTGTAATCAAATGTCATGCATCTCATTAGCATGTCATTATCCCTTCAGGCCATTGTTCTGGGAAATATTTTCCCACCGTTACCAAAGTGAATGTTCTAATGAAAGCCGCACCTAGACTTCACGAATCTGATTCACCGATTAAAAAATTGAATTTTAATTAAAGCCGCGGCCTCAATTAGGATTTTACAGTAGGTGGGTATAGTATGCTTATTGCATTTGTAGATTTTAGATGAATATCAACTCACACCCTGCACAAACTTATGCAACTATTTGCAGCATCTCTT